TCCAGCCAAGCTTGTGTCTGACATCTTAAATCCTTGTTTTAAAGGTTTTCCATAAGCTATGATTGATTTACCTTTGACATTAGGACTTTCGTTATAGTAGGGATGCATTTAAAAAAAGCAAAGTAGGCTGGGTGCAGTGGCTCACACCTGGAATCAGCACTTTGGGAGGCTGATTCGGGAGGATCGCTTGAGCCCAGGAGTTCAGCACCAGTCTGGGCAAAATAGAGAGACCTTGTCCCTACAAGCAGTTTTCTAAACAATTAGCTGGGTGTGATGGTGCACGCCTGTGGTCCTGGCTACTCGGGAGGCTGGGGTGGGAAGGTGGCTTGGGCCCTGGAGGTCAAGGCTGCAATGAGCCGTGATTGCGCCACTGCACTCCAGCCTAGATGACACAGCAAGATCCGTCTCAAAAAAAACCAAACCAAACAAAAGAGAGAATGAAATGGCTTCTAAGCTGCTTTCTATTCTGGGAGGCTTTTACAGAGTGCAGAGCAGTGGACAGGGTTTCCCTAAAAAAGATACTCATACTATCGTGACATCTTAAAAATGAGCAAGAATCTTCCCAGCATCAGATATTCACTCTTTTCACATTTCCACCATCTTGTAAATGTCTCCATCAAGTCCTGTCTGGCTGTGTGTAGGCCTTGTGTGAACCCTGCTTTAAGCAAGTGGTGCAGTCACGGCTCACTGCAGCCATGATGTCCCAGGCTCAAGTGATCCTCCCACTTCAGCCTCCCACGTAGCTGGGACTACAGGTGGGCGCACCACCATACCCTACTAATTTTTGTATATTTTGTAGAGATGGGGTTTCGCCATGTTGCCCAGGCTGATGTCCAACCCCTGGGCTCAAGCGATCCACCTGCCTCAGCCTCCCAAAGTGCTGAGATTATAGGTGTGAACCACCGCGCCTGGCCGGTATGTCTTTTTTTTTTAAAGATAGCTTTTTTGAGGTATAATTGGCTTGTAATACATTGCACACACGTAATGTGTACGATAGGTTTTGACACGCATGTGCACCCGTGAAAGCATCACCATAATCAAGATGGTGAGAAAGTCCTTCCCTCTCCCCCTCTCTCTCTCTGTCTTTGTAATTTGCTTGTTGAAGAGCCCTGGCTCTGTCCTGCCTGGGTTTTGCTGATTGCGCCCCCACATTGACATGCAGTTTAACATTGTGCCCACGCCTACCAAGTGGCCTCTCAGTCAAGATCACGAGGTTTCCTTTCTCCTTTTCCCATGTGGTTGATTTTTCGGCAGAGACCAGGCCTCCCAGGCGAGGCTCCTGGGGTCCATGTGCGGCCGCTGTGCCCCTGTGATGTGGCCTCTGGTCTCTGTGCTTCCCCACATTGCTATAAAGAAATACCTGAGACTGGGTAATTGATAAGGAAAAGAAGTTTCATTATAGTTCACGGTTCTGCTGCACAGGGAGCGTGGCGCTGGCATCTGCTCAGCTTCTGGGGAGGCCTCAGGGAGCTTCTACTCATGGTGGAAGACAAAGCGGGTGCAGGCGCCTCACATGGCGTGAGGAGGAGTGAGAGAGGGTGTGGGAGCCACCAGACGCCATCACGCAAGCAGATCTCCTGGGAACTCATCCTTGCCCAGTACCAGGAGGACAGCACCAAGCTGTGAGGGATCGGCCCCCATGACTCAACACCTCCCACCAGGCCCATCCGACACCCAGGAGCACATCTCCACAGGAGATTTGGTAGGGACACATCCTGACTGTGTCAGTAGATGAAGCTAGAGCCTGGACAGACGTGGTTTTAGTGTTCCTGGCAAGACTGCTTCAGTGGTGGCAATGGCATCTCTCCCCGGGAGGCACCTAGGGCAGTCTCTCGGGGGTCAGTGCCTGGATGCGTGAGTTCACCAGTGTTGTCTAATGGTGACGGTCACACGCCTGTGTGTCTCATTGTCCGTTTGCTGGGATGCTTCCATAAAGCACAGTGTCCTCACCTGTTACCTGGTGACAGTGTTACAGCAGTGTGTACAGGGAAGGTAGGATGCTGTCCCCTTGTTAACCAGTTTCAGAATAACTTGTGGGCTTACTGGCACCATCCATCCTGACCAGTTCATCTCCTTCCTAGTGTCTTAGGAACTCTGGACTTGAATGTATTCGCTGTGTTTCAGCCTCTTCCCGTGTCCTTGTGCTCAGATTGTCTCCTCTTTCTTGTGGGAGCTTCTGTAGGTTCATCTCGAGTCACTGGACCAGAACCCCTGGAGTAGTCTGTGTTGTGCTGCTACAGCACCCCAGGCGGGGCAGTTTAGAATGAGCAGCAGTGTGCTGGCTCCTGGTTCTGGAGGCTGGAAGTCCAGTTCAAGGTGCTGGTGTCTGCTGAGGGCTTTCTTGCTGTCATCCTGTGGCAGAAAGTGGAAGGGCAAGAGAGGAGGGAAGAGGGGCAGAGCGGGGACAGAGGGACAGGAGAGAGAAGGAAAGGGAAGGAGGAGGAGGGAGAGAGAGGGAGGGAAAAAAGGGGAGAGGGAAGAGAGGGGAAGGGAGGGAGAATGGGGGGAGGCAGAGGGAGAGGGGAGAGGACACACATAAGGGGGCAAAACTGACCCTTTTTAAAATGTATTTATTTATTTATTTGTTGAGACAGAGTTTTACTCTTGTTGCCCGGGCTGGGGTATAACGGTGCGATCTTTGCAACCTCTGACTCCTGGATTCATGTGCCTCATCCTCCTGAGTAGCTGGGCTTACAGGTGCACACCACCACACCCAGCTAAATTTGTATTTCTAGCAGAGATGGGGTTTCACCATGTTGGTCAGGCTGTTCTCAAACTTCTGACCTCAGGTGATCCATCCGCCTCAGCCTCCCAGAGTGCTGGGATTACAGGTGTGAGCCACTCTGCCCGGCCTTTTTATTTTTTGAGATGGAGTTTTGCTCTTGTTACCGAGGCTGGAGTACAGTGGTATGATCTTGGCTCACTGCAACCTCTGCCTCCCAGGTACCAGCGATTCTCCTGCCTCAGCCTCCCGAGTAGCTGGGATTATAGGTGCCCACCACCATGCCCGGCTACTTTTTTGTATAGTTTTAGTAGAAACAGTGTTTCACCATGTTGGTCAGGCTGGTCTTGAACTCCGGACCTCAGGTGATCCATCTGCCTAGGCCTGCTGAAGTGCTGGGATTACCGGCATGAGCCACCGTGCCTGGCACACTCACCCTTTTATGACAGACCCTTTTATAAGACAGCATTAAGCCGTTCATGAGGACAGAGCCCTCATGGCCCACCACCTCTCAGATGCCTCACTTCCCTAAGGCTGTCACGTGGCAGTGAGATCTCAGCATGTGTGTGAGGAACGCATATTCCTGCTCTACAGTCCTGGATTCACTGGGTCTCCACTGGGAGCCCTGGCTGCTTAGTGGCTCTGAAGGGGGAGCTCGTTGCAGCTGTGGAGGGGTGTGGCTAGAGAGGACCCAAGTGAGCGACAGCGACCTCTCCAGTCTGCAGGATGAGCACACCCTGGCCAAGAGCAGGGCTGTCTGCGCTGGTTTTCAGGGGGACCTCAGGCCCGCTGGGCAGGAGGGACAAACCAGGAGACACTGGAGAGTCTCTCGGGAGGCAGGGGCTGTCCTGTTGTCTGGAGAGAAGCTGCTGCTGCCCCGTGTGGCTGTGGCAGGGCTGCAGGCTGAGCCGCTTGGGGGGTCGCCTGGCACTGAGGCTGTTCTCACCCCTGGCGGCCTCACCCTCAGAACTGTGCAGAGAGCTCTGGGCTGGTGTTTGTATTTCTGAAACACGTAAGGATGCTGATTTTGGCTTAATTCTCTTGTCATTCATCCAACGCTGCACTTCCCGATGGGAGGCGCTGGTGTGCACGAGTTCTAGAATGTTGAGCCGAGGTAGTTGTGAGAAAACGTAGGTGTGCTTCAGTTTATCCTGGCAGCAGCTAACTCACACGGGAGCCTCAGTTCTCTAGAACGTTGGTTTCAGGGAGGTGTCACATTCTAGACGTAATTTTCCGTTACCCACAGCTACTTCAGCCTCTGGTGAATGTTTGCGGTGATTTTCAGCAAAACTTCCTGAGCTGTGTTTGAACCTCACTGAAGCTAGTCGGCTCGTTTCAACTGCCCCCATGGCTTTCTTTTCTTTTCTTTTCTTTTTGAGATGGAGTCTTGCTGTGTTGCCCAGGCTGGAGTGCAGTGGCGTGATCTCAGCTCACTGCAACCTCTGCCTCCCGGATTCAAGTGAGTCTCCCACCTCAGCCTCCTGAGTAGCTGGGATTACAGGTGCCCAACACCACACCTGGCTAATTTTTGTATTTTTAGTAGAGATGGGGTTTCACCATGTCGACCAGGCTGGTCTCTGAACCCCTGACCTCAGGTGATCCACCTCCCTCGGCCTCTCAGAGTGCTGGGATTACAGGGGTGAGCCGCCGCACCTGACCTCTCCCCATGACTTCCCAAATTAATGTTTTATTGTCTTCTTACATAACTATAGATAATGCTTTTTATTTTATATATTATTTACTTCGAGACAGAGCCTCACGTCGTCACCCAGGCTGGAGTGCAGTGGCGCCATCTCAGCTCACTGCAATCTCTGTCTCCCAGGTTCAAGAGATTCTTACACCTCAGCCTCCCAAGTAGCTGGGACTACAGGCATGCACCACCATGCCTGGATAATTTTTGTATTTTTAGTAGATACAGGGTTTCACCATGTTGGCTAGGCTGGTCTCGAACTTCTGGCTTCAAGTGATCCCCCCACCTTGGCCTGTCAAAGTACTGGGACTACTAGGCGTGAGCCCCCAGGAATGGCCGATAATGCTTTTTAGAAACAGCTGTTCTCATAGGAGCGCTTATTGGTCTGTTATTCATTGATTGATCTTACATTATAAACGTGTCCTCTAATTTACTTTTTGAAATCATGTTTGTGATGTGATAATTAATTTTACTGATTTGCTTACATGTAATTTAGATTGATTTTAGGATGGTGAGTGGGTATTTAAAATGTTTCTAAACCATGAAACTTCTGGAAGCTAAGTATGCAAACATTTTTTTTCCCTTTAGATCTTCAGTGTCTATTGGATTTTTCCAACAGAAAGTCCATAAAGTTCCTTACACTGTAGATGTGGGTCAGATACGATGGTTCAGTAGAAGACCGCACGTCAGGGGCACTGGAGGCCGGCTGCTGAAGGATGAACGGAGAGGAAGAATTCTTTGATGCCGTCACAGGTGAGTTGAAAGGGAACCAACTGGGGTCGTAATGGAAGAGTGAACGTCCCTGGACTCAGATGCTGGCCTTGGCGTTTGGGGCGTGAAGATGGCTTAGCAGAGCCGTGCACGGGCGAGTGTTCACAATCCCAAACTCAGACTGTTCAACACAGCCTGACATGCATCTCAGATAGGGGGAAACCTTGACTTTGGCTGACAGGGTTTAAGCCTTCAGAAGAGTTTCCTGGGGTGTGGATGTGTCATTTGGCTCCTGAGATGGCTGTCTTCTGTTATTCCTGCTTCGTGATGGGAATGTTAAGGATCTGATGGCTCTGTCTTGCTTGGCCCTGCTTAAGGCGTCCCCTCAGGCAGCAACCCCACTGGCCCCACAGCAGCCCGCACAGCCGCAGTGTGCAGCTGTGTTCCTCTGTTTTCCGCCTTCGCATGGCGATTTAAAGCAGGGCACAGACTGTAGTCGGAGTGAAATCCTGTGGCCTCATTGAAAAGAATGTGTTTTGGAGTCCAGTCACACTGAATAAAAGACAAAAATGAAGAGTATGTTGCCGGGCTCATGGGTAGGGAAGGGCAGGCAGGGCTGGCAGATGGACCTCCCAGAGCCGCCCCTTCTTCCTGGCACTGGGAAGAGCCCTGACCCCCTTTGAGCTTGTGTCTGTCAGGTCCTCACACTCGGTTTCCACTCTCTGCACTCAGAGTCAGCATCTGGAATTTCACTTGGTGTTTTGGGGAAGGACCATAGCTGGTGGGCAGGGGCATCCGGAGATTCTCCTGGCATTCCCTTGTCCTTAGGTGTTGGGATCAGAAAGGAGCAGCTTTGGAAATGTGGCCGCAGGCCGGGAATTCATGACAATCTTTAGAGGTGCTTCTGCAGTTGCTGCGGCCCAAGGACCTGTAAAGGTCTCTGTGGCCACACCCTGAGGACACGTTGATGGCTCCGTGCCCTGTGGTTCTGTGCCATATGGCCTCCGGTCTGTGGCCTTGCCAGAGCAGTTGTGTCAGGAGGGTCTCTGGCCATGCCCTGAGGACACATCGATGGCTCTGGTGGCGCCTCCGGTCTGTGGCCCTGCCGGAGCGAGCTGTGTGTTCGAGGCTGTGCTGCTCCTGTACTTGTGCTGGCAGCCCAAGGTGATTGACTTCCTCTCATCCAGAATCCCAGGAGAAGGAAATGCTGCACTGCTGCGCGCCTTACGCCTTCAAAGGCTCAGTTACTAAGTCACGTTCCATGATTTCGTGGCTGGATTCTCTGCAGTGTGTGTTCCTCGGATGTGCTCCCAGAGGAGAGTCTGTGGAGTGGGCCCCTCATCAGCGATCGTTCTGTGTTCTCTGCTAAATCCCAAGCAGTGGAGGGGTGGTCAGGCACTCACACCCTTGGGCTGCCTCGCCTACGAGTGGAACTCCACGTCTGTCACAGAGACTGCAGCCTTGAGGTTCCTTCTCTCCCAGGAGTCTCATAGGATGTCCTTTTTGCCTGGGGTCTTGGTGTGACTGATACTTCTCCAAACACCTCTGAGCATTTTGAGTCAGTTTGCTGAGACTTCCCAGAGGCCCCAGCTGTGTAATGTGGAGCCCGCCTGGACTCTGCCATCCTAGGAGCTGTACGGGTGTGGGGCCGTGGGGCTCTGCTGCACAGAGGGCCGCTGCGTGTGTCCCTGAGGGTAAGGTGGAAGGGACAGACGTCTAGGTGACAGTAATTTCTCCCCTCACTTCTTGGGCTTCGGAACAAATAATGGAAGGAGAAAACCACTGAGTCTCTTACTGCAATGAAATACCCATGTAAGAGGCAGGCTCTTGACTCCTTCACCGCCTGTGATTCATCTGAGTCTCATCTGAAAACTTTGTGAACTAAGCAGTTCTTAGATGAATGACTTCATTAGGCATTTAATTTGTCGAAGACTCAGTGCCTTTCAAAGGAAAGGTTTGGCAGACATGCGCAGTGTGTATGGGATTGAGGGCTGTGAGCGCAGAGGGGTCTGTTAAAGCAGGTGTTTCCGAGGGGAGCCGATGGTAGGTGAGGCAGCCTCCTCCTCTGCTCATCTGTGTTTTCTGTTTTTCTATAATAACTGCTTGTTGTGTCTTAAGAGTGTTAAGCCATCCATGTAGCATTGGCTGAATCAGAGACTGCAGCGGCTGCCAGGGAGGTGCTGCTTTATTCTTCTGGCCAGGGGCAGCTCCTGCCCCACGGGATTCCCTTAAGTGGGGAATGCTTTCAAGATAACTTCAGAGTGAGGAGTTACAGATGTTGCTTTTGGGACAGATAGCAAAACACAAGAGGTGGCGGGCTATTTCAGAAACCGTGGGCCATTTAAGGATTCCTTTTTAACCCATCCTCTCAGAAACACGACGCCATCCACCCCGGCACTGCCTTTATGGATGAACTCTGCAGGTGTGGAGGGATAGGACACAGCAGCCTGGTTTGCTCTCATGGAGCCTGTAACACCCGCCTGCGTGTGAGGTCCGACTGTAGTCATCCACCTGGCCCTCCTGGGCCTGTGTCCCCCGCATGAAGCCCTCAGCCCCTGGAAGCTGAGGTGGCCACTGGCTCCCGCAGGCCCAGAGCCCCTCACAGAATTGACTCATCATGGGGCCCCAACCCCCACTCCAGCCAGATGTGGAGCAGGACTTGGCCATTCCGGTGACTTAGACTGACAAGAGTTGAAGGGAGACACATGTTCCTGTTCCCCAGTCGCCCGTTCTGTGATGGGTAAGGGCCCTGGAGCAGCGCCGGGCAGCAGCTGTTTCTTTCTGGGACTTCTGGTCCAGGAGCACGCGCACGGCTGCATTTCACTCGGATTCTAAAGAGCTCCTTCTCCGGAGTCCCCCTTCACCCGGAGTCCACTGCAAGTCCAGCCACATGTGTGGCGTTTCCATGATTGCTCCCTGGCTGGTGCAGTTGAGTGTTGCCTCTGCGTGCTAGGATGCTCTCCCTTGAAACATCGTCAGGAGGCGCGTTTCAGACCAAGATGCAGAGCCTGGTCACAGGCCCTGAGCCACAGCAGGCGCTCCGTAGCCTCGGGGTGGGTGGAATCTCGTAGAAGTGGCCCACCCAGAGCGTGTGAGTTGCAGTCTAAAATGCTGAAAGGGTTCCTTCCGGAAGGTGAAACTCGTGGCCTGGGACTGGACCTCACGTCACAAGCGTGGAAGGAGCCTGAGGTGCTGGAGCTCCGCTGGGGGCGGCGTTCTTAGGAGGGAGCGCCCTGGCGTGCTCCTGTGCTCTCTGCCCCTCCTCTCCTTTTGGGGAAGCAGAGTGAACTCTTCCAAATGTATCCACTGAGAGGTCGAGCTTTAGTAATCTGCGTGCATAATCAGAGTTCTGGAGGTAGGGTTTTATATCTTCCAGGTCCGGCGAAAATTACCGTTTTCTTGTCTCACAGGCTTTGATTCTGATAACTCTTCCGGGGAATTTTCAGAGGCAAGTCAGAAGGTCACAGGAATGATTGACTTGGACACCAGCAAAAATAACAGGATTGGGAAAACTGGGGAGAGGCCCTCTCAAGAGAATGGAATTCAGAAGCACAGGTATGTTCTCTCCCATCTGCTGCTTCTACCCCACAGTGCTCTGCAGTACCCCTCAGCCCCCACGAGCCAACGTTGAGCTGGAGCGGCACCCCCATAGCTCCTATGTCCGGCCAGCAAGGGCTCTGAGAGACTTGGTGCCTCTCTGCTTGGCTCCTGGAATCAGCAGATGGCAGTTTTTTGGGCAGTGCCTTTCCCCATCTAAGAAATGCCTCCGCTCCCCTCACTGCCTTCAGGACTTGCTGTGGGAGGATTCAGGGGGACCCCAGCTTCAACAGGGCCTGGAAAACAGTACCTGGTGTTTTGATTGGCAGGCCCCTTGCTGATTCCCTGCAGACCTGCCTGTTCTGCTGTCGACAAGAAGCTCACCCTCTTCTCACCAGAGTTCTATTGCAGTGTGTTGGTCTCTGACCCTATAGAACAAGAAAGGTTTAAGCTGCTTGATGTAGCATGGCCGAGCTCCCTTTCCTCCACCACCTTGTTCATTTTCGTGTAGGTAGAGTCCGAGGACAGTGGCCATGATGAGAAGCCTTTGGTCTGTGGCTGGGCACGGTGGCTCACGACTGTAATGCCAGCACTTTGGGAGGCCGAGTCAGGTGGCTCACTTGAGCCCAGGAGTTGGAGACCAGCCTGGACAACATGGCAAGACCCCACCTCTACAAAAGAATTAGAATACAGGAGGCTGGGGCAGGAGAATTGCCTGAACCCGGGAGGTGGAGGTTGCGGTGAGCCGAGATCACGCCATTGCACTCCAGCCTGGGTAACGAGCGAAACTCACGTCTCAAAAAAAAAAAAAAAAAAAAAAAAATTAGAATAATTAGCTGGGCATGGTGGTGCATGCCTATGGTCCTGGCTACTTGGGAGGCTGAGTCAGGAAGATCCCTTGAGCCCAGCAGTTCGAGGCTATGGTGAGCTATGGTGGTGCTGCTGGACTCTAGTGTAGGCAGCAAAGCAAGATGCTGTCTCAAAAATAAAAGGGAAGAAGTCGTCAGTCTTTGTTGGTAGAAGCAGGAAGGCAGGACAAGCTCTTGGTGGGGCAGGCAGTGGCCCTGGAGCTGGTGGCACTGTGGTGCAGACTCCAGGCACAGCTGCCCATGTGTGTCTCGGCTGCAGGGAGCTGCCCCAGCCTGGCCTCAGGCTAGGCTCACACGCCTGCTTGGTGCGTCCCTGTGGTGCCCACGTCTGCATCTTACCTGTTATTTGTTCATGTCTCACCCCCGCTCCCCGTTCTCCAGCCCTGACGCTGGTCATTTTAAATGCCTTTGGGTCCTTCAATTCTTCTATCTCCTCTGTCCCATGCCTGTGCACCCCACCATCCGTGTTTCCAGAGTGGCCTCTGCAGCTCTGCCTTTTATTCCTGCTGTGTACAGAGACATTTGTGTATGCATGTATGTATCGTTTTTGAGATGGAGTCACACTGTCGCCCAGTCACCCAGGCTAAAGTGCAGTGGCGCAATCTCGGCTCACTGCAACCTCTGCCTCCCAGGTTCAGGTGATTTTGCCTCACCCTCCTGAGTTGCTGGACATGTCCCACCACGCCTGGCTAATTTTTGTATTTTTAGTAGAGACAGGGTTTCACCATGTTGGCCAGGCTGGTCTCAAACTCCTCAAGTGATCCACCTGCCTCGGCCTCCTGAAGTATGGAGGTTACAGGGGGGAGCCACCATGCCCAGGCCAGAGGCACTTTTCAAAAGACAGATCTGGACCTCCCCGCCCTGTCACTGTCTGCCTAAAACTCAGACAGGATGGCCACATGGCGGCCTCATACTCCTAGTCCTACAGAACTGTGAGTAGCACTCTGTTTTACTGGGAGAAATGACATGCCTTGGACACTGCATTATGTGGTTAATGTCCTCTTAGGTTGAAGGCCAGCACCCTTACCTTGTGCCCTGGGCCCAGCCCCGAACGCTCCTGTGGCTCCGGCCCCCCAAGCCCTCTTGCCTCCAGTCCTGGCCGCAGGGGCCTATCTCAGGTCGTCAGGTGCAGCCACTCCCCCTGCTCCCTCGCTCCGGGGCCTCCGTCCTCCTCCTCCATGTCTGCAGTCCTGTGCATCCCGTCTCCCTGCAGGGTCGTGTCCTCGGGGCGGTGTGACCTGACCCCCTGCAGAGCCACGTTCCCCTCCCGGTGGCACCCCCCGAATCACAAGGTGCACTGGATGCGTGCGTGAACAGCAGCGGAGCCGAGCAGAGTGCTGGCCCCCACCGCCGGGCTTGACGCTCAGCAGATGTTCGTTTTCTTTTCTGCCTTGCCTCACAGCTGCTGTGTCCTCTCCCTCCTGCCCCCTGACACCAGTGGTGTGCCTTGCCCCAGCTGCCCTGATGTGGCGTTCCCAGGGCGTAGCTGAGGACCAGAGCAGGCAAGAGCACCTGCTTTCCTCGCTCTGGAGGTCTGCTGGGAGCAAGGCAAAAACGCCCCTCAAGGCAGCTTCCGTGAAATGGGAGTTCAGCAGGAAAGCCCTGGGGTGTCCCTGGAGGGCTATGAGCAGCAGGGAGCCCCGGGCCCACCCTCTGCAGCACCTTCGCTGTGCCCCACTCTGTGGTGTCCTCTGCAGTTCTGGCACGCCTCTCCCCAAATCCAAGTTTGTGTCTCCAGGTGCTCCCAAGACCAGGGCCCCGGGTCAGTGGCACCCCGGTTGATAGTGGTGAGCAGTGGTGGGGGTTAGGGTCTCCAGGTACAAGCGTGGTGGTGTGGGTTCTGCATTGCAGCTGACTGGAACATTGCCTGAAAAGAACACTTCTCAGGAAAGCAAACCCATGTTTAAAGGTCTGAAAAGCTTTTAATTTGGGTCACTCTTGGTGCCCTCATAGGCTGACCTCTGCCTGAGGTCTGGCAGCTGCCCTGGGACCCAGCAGGAGACTCCAGAAGGCTTGTGGGCTGTGCAGGCAGAGGACTCCGTCCTGGGCCGCCCTGTCCGCCAGCTCTGGGAGGAAACCAAAGTGCAGCCACTGAGGGCCAAGACCGCAGAGTCGTCTTCGTTGTCACGGCCGTTCCCAGGAGGCCCTCCGGAGCGCTGGTGTGGAAGCCTGCTAGGCCCAGGCAGCAGTCGGGCCCCCATGGCCCTAGGCATGCTGGATTGCAGAAATGCTGCTGTTTAGCCATTAAAATTTAAGGGAAGTGGTCATTGAGCAAAGCCACCTTGAGTGGTCCGAATCCCGTGCTGAATTCACCCACATGCACCCCTTTGGTGCTCCCACAGGACGTCACTGCCGGCCCCCATGTTCAGCAGAAGCGACTTCAGCGTGTGGACCATCTTGAAGAAGTGTGTCGGCCTGGTGAGTCCGGGGCCCGTGCTCATGCGTGGGGCTGCACCTCTGACGCTTGGGAATGTCTTGCAGTGCTGGTGGTTTAAGAAAGTGCTCTCATGTGTACAAACAGCATGAGATTAAGACAGCAAAACGGAAAGAACAAACACGTCCGGGGGCGAGGTGCTGTGTGAAACACGGGTCGTAAGAGCCGTCCTGGGGGCACCCGTCTAGCCCGGTGTCCTGTGTAGCGAGGTGGGTGGGGTTTCCCTGGTGCCCTCTGTGGCCACATGCTGAGCTGCAGGTGGGGGGCGTCAGCCGTTGTCAGTTGCTCAGGGTTTGGGACAGAAAATCCAGCTGGGTAATGAGGGCCCAGAATTTATGGGCCTTCCCTTTCAAGATCTTTCCTGACTGAGAACCCAAGCTGTGCCTTGCAAGGGAGGGGGTGTCCTGCGCCACCAGCACCGTCCTGTTGACCGTTCAGTGCTCATGACTGAAAACTCAAGTTAAATGGCCTGCGAATTCGCGTCGCTGTTGCTCAGCTCACGTTTCCTAGTGCTGGTGATTTTTTGCCCTTACCCGTTTTAGTCCTTTTTCCCCAGAGGGTACTTCACTTTCTCTCAACTTTTTATTTTGAAATAATTTTAGGCTTATGGAAAATCACAGAATAGCACAGAGCATTTCCATAAAGCCCCCGGCCAGCTCGCCCAATGCCGGCATCTCTTGAAATAACTGTAGCTCAGTGACCAAAGCGAGGGAATGCGTCTTACCTCCGCAAGTCACTTGTGAGTCCTCAGTGTCCCTGACGTCCTTTCCTGTCCCAGGACCCTCGTGGCTACCTCCGCGTGTCACTTGCGAGTCCTCAGTGTCCCCGACGTCCTTTCCTGTCCCAGGACCCTCGTGGCTACCTCCGCGTGTCACTTGCGAGTCCTCAGTGTCCCCGACATCCTTTCCTGTCCCAGGACCCTCGTGGCTACCTCCGCGTGTCACTTGTGAGTCCTCAGTGTCCCCGACGTCCTTTCCTGTCCCAGGACCCTCGTGGCATTTGGGCCCCTCACTTGGTGGCAGCGGCTACTGGTCTGTTGCTTAGAAGACTTCTCCTTAATTTGGGTTTGTCTGATGTTTTCTTCTTAGATTGAGGTTCTATATTTTTGGCACTCACAGAAGTGAGGTACCTTTGCCAGGGCCTTGTCTGAGGGGCTCTCTGACATCCACATGTTAGTTAATGGGGCTGTTAACCTGGTCAAGTGTCTCCACTGCAGAGTTGCTGCGTTTCTCTTTGTAATCAGTGTTTTGGGGAAGACACTTGGATTCTGCTTGCTAATTTTAGCATCTATTGGTGGGTTTTACTGAACTCATTCTAATGGGGATTTTCTATTTTGTTCTTCCTTCTACCTTTATTAATTGGAATTCTTCTGTGAAAGAGAACTGTGCCTTTTCCCTAGTTATATGTTTATTCAGTTAATATTTGTATTAGTGTGGACTCGTGAGCACGTGTGTTATTCTGTGAGTTGAATTCCAGTGTAGTCCTTATTTGCACAGTTGCTCACAGTGTTCCGCCTTTGGCTTTGGGAGTTCTTCCAGGTTGGCTCTCCCCGTTCTGTGGGACCCCCTTTCCCCTTCTGCTGAACCCCCATCCTTTTCTGAACACTTACTTCAGGCACTAAAGGATGCTCTAGTTCAGCTTATATTCTCCTTGCCTTAACCCTGGAATCAGCTGCTTCTCCAGGGAGCCCATTCACTGGGTAATGGTGTTTAGGCCCCGGCCAGGTGCTGGGTGCGTCGCTGCTGCTGAGGAGTCATTGCCTGCAGATGGCGCTGGAAAATACGAGTGTGTGTCATGCTGATGCACACGCCTCGGTACTTCTGTGTATATCTCTATGTTTCTTTTAAAATAAACCATTTGAGATTTTTTTTTCTTTCAGCAGTGTTTTTTGTACATTTTTGACGACATGGATAATTCAGGTCTCGACGAAAGTATCTGTCTTGGTGTAGATGTTGAATGTCTTTTTGTGAACTTGACAAACCACCTAATTTTGACTCTTCTAAATTCTGAGAGAGGCCAAGTGTGATAGTAGCGCGTGCCTGTAACCCAGTGCTCGGGAAGCTGACGGAGGAGGAGTGCTTGTAACCCAGTGCTCGGGAAGCTGACGGAGGAGGAGTGCTTGTAACCCAGTGCTCGGGAAGCTGACGGAGGAGGAGTGCTTGTAACCCAGTGCTC